CTGGAGCTGCTCTGAGACCCAGAGACGGGTCTGGCTCCAGAACTGGACCCAAACTGAAAGCTCGTTAAAGGGAAACTAGCCTATTTTGACTGTCTGTCAATGGTTCGTTGCAGCAGCTTAATCATCCCAACATAATCAAGTACCTGGACTCCTTCATTGAAGAAAATGAGCTCAACATTGTTCTGGAGCTGGCAGATGCTGGAGATCTGTCACAGATGATTAAGGTTAGATACTTGTGACTTACTTTTGAGAAGCTGGCAGAAAATAATTCATCTAGGAAGTTTATTATCAGTATTGCAAATTGACACTTGATTTATAGAACTGAAATTATTAAAATATATTACTGGCATCAGCCTGAAAACTTCTCCTTTTTTACCCAGTAATAATAATAAATAATAATTAGTTTAAGTAGGCTGGAGACAGTTCTTTCCTGCATTTCAGTTCTGTATTCAGTTCAATTCTTGTTTGTTCACAGTCAAAATACTTCCTTCTGTTTTTCAGTACTTCAAGAAAAAGAGACGGCTCATTCCAGAGAGGACAATATGGAAATTTTTTGTCCAGCTGTGCGGTGCAGTGGAGCACATGCACTCCCGCCGAGTCATGCACCGCGGTACCCATTCCCTCAGCTTTAGGGATTATTAGACCTTTCTTCTGTCCTCCAGCTCTGCTCAGACCAGCTTTGATCCTCAGCTTGTTTGCATCTGTACCAACCTTACTTTTATCACGTATTTTCAAAATGAAAAATGAGGAAAGGAAGTGTTCAACGTCTAGAGAAACTCCATTTTAATTGATTGTAACTGTGACTCGACAGCAGTTTGAAGCTGAAGCAAAGGGGTTTCAGTCACATGACTGTGGATGTTTTGGGGTGTACACAAATACTAAATCCATCAATTAGAACAAACAGAAACTAACTGGAGGCTTTTCTTGTTTCACCTGGAGGTGACTGTCTGTGTTTGTGTGCTCACCAGATATCAAGCCAGCCAACGTGTTCATCACGGCTACAGGAGAGGTAAAGCTGGGGGACCTCGGCCTGGGACGCTTCTTCAGCTCCAACACCACGGCAGCTCATTCTCTGGGTAAAACATACTGAGACCTGAGGAATAAGGTTGTTGGGTTACAGTGATTTCTACAGTAGTGGTTTAGACTTTTCCACTAAATGTCTTTAAATCCACATGAAGATGAGTCTAACAGACTGTAGTAAACAGATAAATGGAGGCAGAAGATGTCTTCCAGTCATCAACGCTCACATTCAGCCACACACAGGAGCTCTATCTATCTATCTATCTATCTATCTATCTATCTATCTATCTATCT